ACGATAGAGAAGTAGGTGGAGCCAGGTGGTGCAGGACCTTACAGTTATCCTAGAGACTGGGTTCTTTGGGACCATGGGCAGCCACGGGACTTGGTCTGATATCAGACAGTGGCAGCAGAAGCAAGGAGGCTGCTGGGTTAGGGGTTGGCACAGCAGTCTGGGTGGGACATGGTGGCAGAGAATTGGTTTCAGAGTTGACGGGACTTGATGCGCTGAATGTGAGGGCAAGGTGGTGAGGGACAGAGAGGAATGAAGGATGCCTTCTAGGTAGGTGGCAAACAATGGGAGAGGAAGAAGTTTGTGGAAGAATCTGGAATTTTTCAATTGCCATTTTGTCTTGCCCAGGAAACATTGAAGAGCAGATGGCAAATGGGCAACTGGATAACAAGCCTGGGCTTAGAGAAGCGTGGGATGGAGTTAGACATTCAGCGACCGTCACGTCACCTGTGAACTCTGAGAAGACAAGAGGTTGGGATCTCTGGCCACAGTAGGTAGATTTGCATCAGATAGGAGGGGCCCTTCTTCCCTGACAGGGCAGTGCTAGGAGGTGAGTCTGTAGATCTGTCAGGGAGGTAAGGGTAAGTGACTTCTTTTCTGGTGGCCCAGTTAACCTGAAGGGGGAATAGGGTAAGACTGTTGAGTGCCCTTTTAGAGATGCGTCCTCATGAATTTTGGGGGTAAACAGGCATCCATTGTGTGCCTCTGCCAATCATGTTGAGTGACCTTAGTGCAGACACAGAGAAGGTGAATAGTTGGGTACAGCCAGGTTGAGAGATGTGTCCAGTCTGTACTGTGGAGGGAGAGGGGAGTTGAACTGAGGATATTTATGAAAGGGAGTGAGTATAATTTGGGACCCTTCACTCTGTCACCAGGCTGCAGTGCAGTGGCATGATTACGGCTCACTGCAACCTCTGCCTTCACTCTTGTAAGTGTGTGCTGTTATCATGTACACTTCAGTTTTGTTCAGATGAGACTTTTCTGAAAGTGTCCTGCTGTTGCCCTTACGTACTGGCTCCAGGCAGGACATGTAGCCATGTAACTCAGCAGTCAGTGTGTCGACGGTGCAAACACAGGATGCTTCCCATGCTGGGGCTGGTATTGGAAGTTTAGAACAAATTTCCTAGCACTTAATGATGCCAGAGATCTTAAGAGTTTATACAGTATAGTCCCACCTCCCACTTTACATATCCCCTTTATATATAGCGTCCTCAGCAGACTGCCTCTACTTGAACTTCCATTGATGGGGTACTCATTACTCAAGGAGGCAACATGTGGCAGCTGTCCGTGCCCTTCTTGTCCTCCAGTGGCGGCTCACCGTTAGAACTAAGGCTAATGCTCAGGTGTCCTGCATGGTAGTCCCTCTTTCAGGGGTTTTTCTTTTGCTGGCAGCCCCTGGGTGAGGGGCACGGGCATTGCTAAATCAGCAAATGTGACTCAGAACTATCTTCTCCAGTCAGATGGCTTTTGAAGGAAGCTTTCCTAGTTCTTGAGTGTGGTCCCAGCACTGGACATGGTCTGTTACCACACTGGGACCTTTTCCTGCAACCATTTACTGCGATGTTGGACACTATAGCAACTAGCTCCTTTTGGCAGATATATCACACTGTTGATTCAGTTTGATGTGATCAGCACAATTTGCCCAGACTTCTTCACAGAAGTAGCTATTATGCCAAGTCTTCTCCAGCTTGTGTAAGTAGATTTTAGATTCCTAAATACTGAATTTTACATTTATTACTGTTAATTTTCTTTTTTTCTGAGATGAAGTATCACTCTGGCACACAAGCTGGAGTGCACTGGTGCAATCTTAGCTCACTGCAACCTCCGCCTCCTGGGTTCAAGCGATTCTCCTGCTCAGCCTCCCGAGTAGCTGGAATTACAGGCATGCGCCACCACACCTGTCTAATTTTTGTATTTTTCAGTAAAGACAGGGTTTCGCCATGTTGGCCAGGCTGGTCTCAAACTCCTGACCTCAAGTGATCCACCCGCCTCGGCCTCCCAAAGTGCTGAGATTACAGGTGTGAGCCACCGTGCCCAGCCTGTTATTAAATATTTTTAACCAACAATTTTAACCTAAAAAGAGCTTTAAAAAAAATCTTGATTCTATACCGCAATACACTAGTTGTCCATCCCAATGTTGTGTTATTTTTAATTTTGATAAACTGTCTTCTGTGTTTTCATCTTATCCAAAGGGATATCCTGAGAGATTTTAATAACATCCAGATTTATGATAGACATCTGGTAGCCCTATCAAAAAAGGAAATAAAGTCGTTTGAGTAAAATTTATTTATTTGTTTATTTATTTATTTATTTTGATGTGCAGGTTCTCCTCTGTCCCCGCTGATCCCGCAGTGCCGATGCCTATCACTGCCAAGCCTTCCACCCCCCCCCCCCACCCCCCCGTGTTACGCCATTCTCCTGCCTCCGCCTCCCAAGCTGAGCTTGTACAGGGCGGCCCCCACCTTGCCAGCTAGGTTTTTTTTTGTTTATTTTTTCAGTGTAGAGCGAGGTAGTTGTCACCTGTGTTAGCCAGGATCGTCCGTCGATCTCCTGACCTGTGATCCGGCCCGTCTCGGCCGTCCCAAAGTGCTGGGCATTACAGCGTTGAGGCTCACGCGCTGGCTGTATTATTTTGAGATGGAGTCGCGCTGTGTTTGCCCAGGGCGGCAGTGCAGTGGCGTGTTATCTCGGGCTCACTGCAACCTCTTGCGCTCCGGGTTCAAGCGATTACTTCTGCCTCAGCCTCCCAAGTAGGCTGGGAACTACAGGCACCCGCCACCCATCGCCCGGCTAATTTTTTTTGTATTTTATAGGATGGTGTTTCACCCAGTGTTAGCCAGGATCTGGTCTGATCTGCTGACCTTGTGATCCGATCCTCGCTCGGCCAAGTAGCTGGGATTTCCAGGCATGACCTGTGCCCGCCTTATTTATTTTTTTTGAGAATGGAGGCTGCTCTGACCAGTGCTGCATCCCTGGTGGCATGATTACGGCTTGCAACCTCTGCCCTCCCAGGTTCAGCATCTCCGGCCTTAGCCTCCGGAGGTAGCTGGGACTACAGGTGGCACACCGGGGCACACTGGCTAATTTTTTTTTTTTTTTTTTGGTGTAATTTTAGTAGAGGCAGGGTTTCACCATGTTGCCCAGGCTGTTCTTAACTCTGAACTCAGGCGTCTGCCGACCTCGGCCTGCCTAAAGTGCTAGAATTAAGGCGTGAGACCACTGCTGCCTGCTCTGGGCTCTAAAATCTATTTTTTAAGTGAACTATGTGGACTGTGGTCTATGTTTTAGGACATTCGGGCTCAGACAATAATATGTTAAATGAGCCTGGTTTTGGAGTTTTGGTGAACTGTTATGGGTGACTTGAAATTGGAAATTTTGGGCCTGCGCAGTGGCATCACGCCTGTTACCCTAGCCCTCATGGCGAGGCAGGCAGATCACGAGCATCATGAGATCAACAAACCATCCTGCTAACACGGTGAAACTCCGTGTTCCGTGTGAATCAAAAAAAATTAGCAGGGCATGGTGGTGGGTGCCTGTAGTACCAGCTACTCGGGGGACTGAGGCAGGAGAATGGTGTGAACCTGGGAGGTGGAGCTTGCAGTGAGCGGAGATGGCGCCACTGCACTCCAGCCTGGGCGACAGAGCGAGACTCCGTCTAAGAAAAAAAAAAAGAAAATTGGAAATTTCGCTGAGCCCAAAGCTCTAGCAACCGTCTGTTGGCAATGTTTTCTTACAGATTATTGACAATGGTTCCTGAAGTTTTTTCCAGTATAATCTGCTTATACCAGATCACCTGAACTAATTCCGAGGGGCTTGAGATTAACCAGAGACTCAGACTCATGCCCTAGGTTGATAATAGGTCTGCTACTCTTCCCATTATAGGCATAATCTATGTTATTCACCCCTTTGCTCTTGTCTAGTAGATCTTGACTTTTTTTTTTTTTTTTAAAAGACAAGGTCTCCCTCTATCATCCAGGCTGGAGTGCTGTGGCGTGATCACAGCTTACTGCAGCCTCAACCTCTTGGGCTGAAGCAATCCTTCCACCCCACCTTCCTGAGTAGCCGGGATTACAGGCGCATGCAACCATGCCCAGCTAATTTTTTTTTTGTATTTTTAGTAGAGACAGGGTTTCACCATGTTGGTCAGGCTGGTCTTGAACTCCTGATCTTGTGATCTGCTCACCTCGGCCTCCCAAAATGCTGGGATTACAGGTGTGAGCCACCATGCCTGGAAATTTTTGGTATTTTATGTAGAGAGGGGGTTTCACCATGTTGCTCAGGAATTCACGACCAGCCTGGGCGACATAGTGAGACCTCGTTTCTACAAAAAAAATTACTATTTTTTTGAGACAGAGTCTCGCTCTGTCGCCCAGGCTGGAGTGCAGTGACATGATCTCAGCTCACTGCAGCCTCTACCTCCTGGGTTGAGGTGATTCTCCTGCCTCAGCCTCCCCAGTAACTGGGACTACAGGTGCACACCACCACACCTGGCTAATTTGTATTTTAGAGACAGCGTTTCACCATGTTAGCCAGGCTGGTCTTGAACTTCTGACCTCAGGTGGTCTGCCCACCTTGGCTTCCCAAGGTGCTTGGATTACAGGCATGAGCCACCACGCTCTGCCAAGCATGACTAGATTCTGTCAGGCCTGAGTTACGTCAGATTTTACTTCTGCCCCTAACTAGCAGTATGACTTGGAAACTTAACTGGCTTTGTCACACACTGGTTTCCTCGTCAGTAAAATTAGAGTCCCTGGTTGGGCACAGTGGCTCACGCCTGTAAATCCCAGCACTTTGGGAGGCTGAGGTGGGAGGATCAGTTGAGTCCAGGAATTCGAGAGCAGCCTGGGCAACACAGCAAAACCCCATCTCTACAAAAAATACAAAAATTAGCTCGGCTTGCTGGCACATACCTGTAGTCCCAGCTACTCAGGAGGCTGAGGTGGGAGGATCACCTGAGCCTGGGAGGTTGAGACTGTGGTGGCCTGTGATTGCACCACTGCACTTCAGCCTAGGGACAGAGTGAGATCTTGTCTCAAAAAAAAAAGAGTTCCTTTCCTCAGTTGAGGATTAAATGAAGCCTTTAATGAGATGCCTGGCCCTTCTGTGTGGCCATTACTATTCTCTTAAGAGTTCACTGGGCAGGGCTAGTGAGCACACTGGGAAACCTGGACAGGAGGTTTGGGCTCCTAGAGCAAGGCAGAGGTACTAGGCACAAATACTGTGTTCTGGGAGATGCTGGGCACAACTCAAATGCCAGGATGAAGTGTTTTGACCTTTGGCCTAGTGAGAAGAAAAAGCATTCCCTTCCTTTATGCCTAGACAAGACCTGGGTGAATTATAGATGATGGCAGATTTCTCAGGCAGGCAGTATAGAATGAAGGAGGAGACACCTGACTCCTACCCGAACTGAGGGAGGGCCCTTGGGCCTCAAGCTGCCATTCTCACAATACAGAGCAGGTTGTGGGTCTCCAGAAGGAAGTGAGGAAAGAGGCTGGGGGCGAGCCCTGCTTCCCTGGATGCAAGGCCATAAGGTGGGGATTTCCTAAGCCTGTCCCACATGCTCACCCCTGGGACTGTGGCTTCCCTGAGAGCTGGTCCTGCTGCTGCTCATAAGGGCAGGACTTTGGCAGGAGGCCAGACAGGCAGGCAACTAGAGCCCACATTCTTTCCACTGCCATTTCTGGGCTGGGGCTGCACTCAGGTGCACTCGGGTGCAGGTGCTGCCAGGAACACAGGCAAGTGCATTGGACTTTCACGGCCTGAGGCCCTATCCTCAGTGCCTAGACAGGGCCAGGATCTTGTTGATGCTCTGACCTCTGGCAGAACGGGAGCTCCAGAAATGCTGGCTGCTTGAGAGCAATTGAATGCATGTTTGGGGGCCGGGGAAGGCAGAGTTTCTCCTGGGTCCCTCTAGACAGTCAGTGAGAAGCCTGTACTCTCAGGGATCATTGCTGTAGTTACGAGATAAGCTTCTCTAAACATGCAGAGCAGTAGTAACTATGAGGAGGCACAGTCTCTCCTGACCGTGACTCTGGCTGTTGGTGTGGCTTTGCTGCAGCTGCCGTGTGCCACTGATGATCCTGCTCCTCTTCCTTCGGGAAAGTAAGAGGGAGAGAACAGCCTGAGTGGGGGTGAAAGTCAGTGAGCTGCAGTGTGGGATGGGAGGAAGGAGGTACAGAGGATTACAGGCCATCTTCCCTGATTGCTCCTCATCCAGCAGGAAGAAGGAATGAGAGGTGGTTAAGGGAGGAGGATCCGAATGCTGGGGTCGCAGGCCAAGAGGACTCTTGCCAGAAGCTTAGGTAACACTTAAAATCATGGGAGGTAGAGACAGGGTGTCTTTGAGACGATGTTTGGGCACCCAGCAAATGGTGAGACCCCTGAATGGCATCTACTTGTGTTTTTCTCCCCTAATATCATTGTGCTTGCCAGGGTCCCAGGCAGAGGAGTGAGGCCTAAAGGTCTCAGCAGCCATGAGTGCTTGATGCCATCCTCATCCCAGCCCTTCATGGAGCAAGGACGGGGTGGGTGTGGCCACACCTCCCTCACGATGGCTATAGTCATAGTGGTGGCATCAGTGTTTCTCACGAGTCTGGCGGCAGCATGCCCAATACCATGCACCTGCCCTATCTCAGGCATCGTGGTGGACTGTGGGGGCCTCCACCTGCTCTGTCTCCCTTCCAGGCTGCCTGATGGAGTCTGGCTCCTGGAGCTGAGCCACAATAATCTCAGCCATCTGCCGGTTGGCACCTTCCAGGGCCTTTGGGGACTGCGGGTATTGCTGCTTTCTCACAATATCCTGCGGGATCTGTCTGGTGGGGCCCTAGGGGGCCTGAGTTTCCTGGAGCAGCTGGACCTCAGCCACAACCAGCTGGCCCATCTGCCCCCAGACTTCTCGGCTACCCTGGGTTCTCTGCTCCGCCTGGACCTCTCTCACAACCTACTCACTTCCCTGGACCCCAGCAGCCTGTGGCGCCTGGGGAGCCTGGAGCAGCTCGACCTGAGCCACAACCAGCTGGCTGAACTGATGGCAGGGGTCTTTGGGGGCCTCTTCCGCCTACACTGGCTCTCGCTGGCTGGGAACCAGCTGCAGCGGGTGGAGGGTGCTGCCCTGGCCGTTATGCCAGGCTTGGAAGTCCCATCTCTAGCTGGGAATGACATCAGTGAGCTGGAGGCCGAGGCGTTTGCAACCTTAGGGGCACTGGCCCTTCTCTCCCTCGTAGGGAACCGACTGCAGCACCTGGAGTTCAAGGCAGTGGCAGGCATCCGGACAGCAGGCACGCGGCTGCTGTTGGCCGATAACCCCTGGACATGTGACTGTGACCTGCAGCGAGCCTTCGGAAAGCTGGGTCACCTGCGGCACTTGCGTGTGGTAGACCTGGGCAACCTGACCTGCGCTGGGCCTGAAAGGCTGTCAGGAGCAGTGCTGAGTGGTGTGGAGGCCCAGCTTTGCCTGGCTGAGACTGCCACTGTGCTGGGCATCACGGGCGCTGTGCTGCTCACGGTGGCTGTGGCTGTGTTGATGGCTGAGCGCAAGCGCAGGCAGGGCCCGGAAGAAGCCGGGGAGCTGGGGAGCTTTCTGGAGAGGTGAGGGGTGCTGCAGAGCAAGGTCAAGGCAGCTGGAGGAGGGAGAGCAGAGGAAGGTGTGAGAGGAAAAGGGAAGTTCCCAGGTGAGAAGTGGCGCAAACCCGGGAGCGGAGCTTGCAGTGAGCTGAGATCCGGCCACTGCACTCCAGCCCGGCTACAGAGTAAGACTCCGCTCTCAATAAAAAAAAAAAAAAATATATTAAATTTGAACTCGTTGAACATGGACACAACAATGGTCACAGAATGGGCTGTGTGAGCCCCTTGAGGCATTCATCCAGCGCTGTTCGGGAAATCCTCTATTTCAATCTATTCTATATGTTAGTTATTGGAAAACAATGACACTCAC